TCAGAACCCCTCTGCTACAGGGCCATGAGAGAAAGAAATGGTTTTCGATCGAAACCCCTCTGCTATAGGGCCGGTAGAGAATGAATTGTTTTTCGACCAAAAAACCCTCTGCTATAGGGCCAGTAGAAAATGAAATGTTTTTCGACCGAAAATCCTCTGCTATAGGGCCATGAGAGCATGAAATGGTTTTCGCTCGAAAACCTTTTGCTATAGGGCCATGAGAGAATGAAATGTTTTTCGACCGAAAACCCTCTGCTATAGGGCCAGTAGAGAACGAAATGGTTTTCGATCGAAACCCCTCTGCTACAGGGCCATGAGAGAAAGAAATGGTTTTCGATCGAAACCCCTCTGCTATAGGGCCGGTAGAGAATGAATTGTTTTTCGACCAAAAACCCTCTGCTATAGGGCCAGTAGAGAATGAAATGTTTTTCACTCGAAAACTCTCTGCTATAGAGCCATTGAAGAATGAAAAGTTTTTGGTCAAAAACCCACTGGCATTAGACATGGTTTTTAACAAAACACTCCAGGTATGGGGGCGTGAGACTATTATCATTCTTTATGGACTGAATGCAGCTTTTGTGGCCCATGGTTGTGTGGCAGAAGCGCCCAAGCTTGCGAGGGCACGTAACAGAGCAGCAAAAGCAGTATCTAGTCTATAAAGGTTTTACACTATATAACTTTTATGTGCATTTACAATTTTACCACGACATGACCTTCAAACACACAACGTAATTTAGAATGACAAGTTTTGTTTTGAATGATGAAAGCTGGGCATGCTGGGCCAGGCACGACACAGGAAAATATTGTCTAGATGTGAGAGTCCACTTCCTTTAGCGTTACAAGGTCTAGCAATACAAGGTATATGATAAGGAATGTTTTTCATTTCTCTGGTATAAAGCTCAACTAAAGGCCACATAAAACAAGTAAATAATTGCAAGACTGTATATTAAAATAGCAAAATAGTTTATTGTAACAGATTACAATTCGTAGCAAGGGAAAAGCCATCAAACTAACAATAAAATTACAAGCAGCCTGTCAGCAGAGATAGCTCCGCTGTTAGCAATGCACATTGCAATTAAAGAACAGAAGATATCATTAGAAAATGAACAATGTGTATAGTATCAAACCAATCAAACTTGCTGTTCAAAAGAAAACAGGAATTCAAAAATATCACTTTTCACCAAAAATTACAAAAATATTCATTAAAATTAGATAATTGAAGATATCATCACGAAATGAACGAATCTGAGCAATGTCCACATGTAGTACCTATATGTAAAATATTAAAGCAATTGGACTTGCGTCTTTTTAAAAGAAGTCGAAAATATCACTTTTTACCAAAAATATTCACCCAAATTAGAGAATTGAAGATATCATCATAAAATGAACAAATCTACTAGTACATATACACCAAGTATCAAGTATCAGATGCCGATGGACAATCACTCATATGATAAGCTCTGCTCGACAAAGTCGACAATGAAGCTAAAAAATCACCAGCTGCATCAAACACGAACGTGACACTATGAGATGCTGTCATGGATTAAGTAGACTATTTTGATGAACCTCTGTTTTGAGCAAACAAGTGTCATAAATAACATATCGGTAATATGAATAGATTTAGATTTATGCATATGAAGTTTGTTTTTTTCAATTAAAACAGTCAAAAAAGTGAAACATTGACACAGATGCCCGACAATCACTCATAATAAGCTCCGCTTGACAAAGTCGACAGCGGAACTAATACAACATGACCATGCCTATTTTGAATCAATGGTTCATTCCGGGTCAGTGGTGCGATTATCTTCCATTTCCTCTTTAAACACCGACATAATCCTTGCCACCATGTGGTCATGCATAGTGTCGTTCTTCTCAATGGCAATAGTGTTCCTTCCACATTGCAGCGCTGCAATAGATGCAGTTCCTGAAATGTATAATTTAACAGATTTGGTTTAGCCACATTAGATAGATATGGCGATGAGGTTTAGTGTGTAATATTCCTGAAAATTAAAATAATGATGAATAAATATACATTTTCACACAATTTTGGTACAAGCATGATGTGCAATCTTTGACTCCTTAAAGTTTGTTAAGTTGACAACGACGGACAATCAGTAATATGAACAGCTCTGCTGTGTCGACACGGCCATTTTGGATCAAATTACTAAACAATTCCATACGTCTCCAATATATAAAGTACTGAACACATGCAACAAACGAGAGTGAATTTGAAGTCTCTGTATCAAACTATGTTTTAAAATAGAACTATCGGATTTTGCCGTAAATTCGCCCTAGTCAGTTATACGGCAGTTTGGGTTTAAAAAATGGGACCAAGAAATTGCGGAAGGGTGATTTTGCGGAAGTTATTAGGTGCTATTTTAATTTTGCCTAAAAAAGTTTTACCATAGTCATTGACCTCTATCAAACAAAAGCCACAAAAGCCAAAGCTTTCGCGAGAACTGTACTGTATGCTGGTTTACTAAACGCTTGCGTATGGAAAATGGAAAACAATCTTGTCTGCTAGCAATATCCTGCTTTATGGTCCCGTTGGTGGCGCCATTTCGGCAACACTCGTAATGCCGAAAAAACTCGAAGGTGATGGGAGAGGGGGGCGTGGCCCGGTTTTGGAATATCATTGACTGTTTACCCGATTTATATACCCTTTTCACTTGATTTTTTTTCATAATGTTGTTCATAAATAAATGTTGCACACAAAAAGTCAATTGGCCCAATTCAGTTACACTTTAAAGCGCGGTGGTTGTCACGCAGCGCGTGTTCGAATTTCATGTAAATAAGCAATGTATTTTACACGCGTTGTATACGTCCCATATCGAACATATCCAGACTGCCGCCCTTTAAACACCCGCGACAGAACCAGAACGAACATAGAAATGTTATGAACACACAGAGAATAGACACTCGGAATAGATTTATAAATTGTCTTACCGCACCTGAAATGCATCCGATTTGGACTTAGAAATATTGTGCTCCTTCACACTCATACAACTGTGTGACCTTGGAACTTAGCATCGCTGTAAAATAAAAGCTGTTTTGCTAGCCAAAGCAACCTGTTTTGCATATACTTTTTCTTGAAAGTTTAAATTGAATATAAAAAAGTGTTTTTCACGCAAGGAATCAGAGAATGACTCTCTGAAAACGGCCCGGGTGAAGAGAATTTTTAAAAACCTCTTCTGAAATATAATCACTTATAATAACAACATCGGACACATAATTCTTTCAACAACTATACAATTCCTTCCATTTTATTTCAGGTAAAACAAAACTCATCAACATATACTTGCATAACAGTTTCCGCATTGCCTTCTAATGGGAGGAGTTGTATTACATAAGTATCTCCACTTTGCTTTAAGGCAATTCTACGATATGATGCACAGTATTTCAATTCGTATTCGTGTCGTCGTGTTTCCAGCCAACACGTAATTTATCGAATTTTGATCATTTGCACATTTGTAGTGTGTACTACATGTCACTACATGTACAAAAAAGCATACAGAAAATAACGCGCATGTATACGTTCAATGCTACATCAACCTGAGTTTATACCGAAATATGCTAAAATCTAAGTTTGTTTGATATGCCATTTAATGTTTAAAAATTAGGAATAAAGATAATTATGGGCTTGTCAACGTTGAGCAAGACATTGATAACATCACAGACCCAAC